TTTTGCTGGCGTCGCCGGTTTTCCTCGACGACCTCGTTACCTAAATCGAGCAATTCATCTACGTCCAGTTTTCTGGTTTCCAAGGCCAACGAGCGGCATTCTGGCGTCCACGCAGATTCTTCTGGGTCTTCGATCAGTTCGGCGTAATCGTCGATCGTTTCGATCAAGTCGTCGACCCGACGTAGCATCTCCGAATGCGAAGTGGCGTCGACGCTCCCGTACGACGATTCCAAGAAAGACGTTTGAGAAAGAGCGTCGTCGATACGATGCAGCATTTCCGAATGAGAAGTGCCGTCGAGACTCTCGTACGAAGATTCCGGGAAGGACAGTTCTTCCTCTTCCTCCTCCTCACGGTCCCAATCTCTCCCTCCGATCGGCGACAGTCCGTCTGCTGCTTCTAAGAACGACGTTGCGGATTCAGCGGACGACGCGGTACTGGGAGGGGTTTTAAAGCAATCGCAATCGTTCAACGGCCGGAGGCATTCCGGACAGAGTTGAGAAGGGCTGGCGCACATGGTGCATAGTTCCCCGTTCGGCATGGGCGGGTTCCACTGACACCTGTTGCAGGCAGCGTACGATGGTTCGGCCATGTCGGACCTCGGTCTGATGCTCTACGTCGCGTCCCTCGTACACATATATACATGTGTTAGGTGTTGCGAAGAGAACCGACCGAAAACATGGAAGGTTGCCGACTGTGCGCGTTCGACGTGGACAAGGAACAGAGACAGTACTGTAGCGAGGACGAACGCTCGGACGGGTACCATCCGATGCTGAAGGGCGAGCGCCTCTACGAATCCTACGGCGTCCGGGAGCGGCCACGGGTCGTCGAGAACATCCGCGAAGCGCTGGCGTCGATGGAACCGACGATGGAGGACGTCACCTCACAAGAAGTGGAGGTTCACTTCGATCGTCACGTCGTGCCCAGTTATCGACGAGTGTGCGAAGAGCAGCTGCTTGTGTTCAGAATCCTCGAAAGATCCATGGCTTCCAAGATGACCGGCGGCGAGGCTCCCTCCCAGCAAGACTTCAGTACTTACAAGGCTACGTGTCAGGAAATACAGAAACTCATTAAAGAGTTATCCGAAGACAAGTCTTCGTAGAACAAATTAAAAATAAAAAGAAAGTAATACCATATAGATTTTTGTGTGTGTCTTTTATTTAGGGAGCCTCGCAAAATAAAGCAACGCGTATACGAGTGGACCACGCGATGCGATTAAAGGCAGTTTAATCCCATAGTTGGCCACGCGTTGGGATTATTTTCCTGGGCTACTCCACTTCGTAG